CTTCAACCTCTGGAGCTTGGACTGAGGTCGTCTAGGACGCTAAGGCAAGTCTCCTTCTACCACAACAAGGCGCCATTTTGCGCCGACACTGTAGCTCCTTTCTTTGGCGTCCGTGTTGTGCTCAGGTGACGGACATCGGTGTGCAGAGCCTCTCGAAGGCACACGACAGCTGTGGAGTCACGTGAGGCTTGAGGATCCAGTTTGAGACTCGAGACTCGAGTCGAGGCGTTGCTGGGAAGCACTTTGAACCTGCTGGACCTACGCGACAATCGCGCCCGGAGCCTGGCTTCCTTCCGGCACCGACCAGCGGACGTCATCCAAGCTTGAGGTTTCCGACGCAGGTGCCACGGCTCTGGCGGAGGCGGGGACTCAACGTGGAGAACGTGGGGTAGTTACAGAAGCGCGACGATGGCACCGCCGCAGGCCTTGGAAGCTGGCAGCCAGCTCCGATTCCTGCTGCTCAAGGCACCCAAGACCCGAGCTCACCGTTTGCCTTATACGATTCGATTCGCGTGGGAGGACAATGAGATCACGGATGGCGGCGCTCAAAGACTAGCTGCTGCAGTGAGAAAGTGTGGGGAGGAGGGCCCCCTGAAGCAGCTGGACTTGGAGGGCAACCGCATCACCGCCAAAGGGAGTGTCTACCTCAAAGAGGTGAAACAGGAGCTGAAGAAAGAGATCCAGTTCGGCTACCAGAAGAGTCGGGGCCTGAAGACTCGTTTCCTATATCGCAATGCTTTGTGGAGTACTCTGCGCTTCTGAGGTAAAGCCCGAGAGCAGCATCAGGGAGTCATCGACACCCACAGCAAGGACCGCAGCAGTGGCATTCTTGTCCCAAGCTGCTGATTGAAGAATGTGCTGTCCGCAGGACGGCGTCTTTGCAGCGAGGTAGTTCGCCGCTGAAAGCGCTACGGTATGTGCTGTTGGAAGAAAATTCTGGGAGTTGCGCTGCCTTAAAACTCGGCTGCTTGTGAATTCCACTCTCGCGCGGCTCGGCATGCCCGGCCTTTTGCTCAGAGCCTTCACCAAACATCTGCATGTGGACGTCGTATTAAGCTCCAAAGCGACAAATACATCCCACAAGAGCTGTTGTCGGTGCCGGGAAAACCCCCTTATATCGCGTTGGTGCGATGGGCCGCACCAGAAGCCGGCCACCGCGGCACGTCCGCGAGGTGCACACCAAAAAAGCCTCGGACCTCCTCAGAAAGCGTGAAGTGTGCACCTTTTTGTCGAGGCGTCGGCTGCCAAGAAGATCCCAGATGCCACAGGCAAGGATGGGGCCACGACCACAGCTGCCGTGGTACCACTGTCGCCTGTCGTCGAAGGCACCTCGAGTACCGAGCCGGCAGCACCGACACAGGTGACAGGGGTGGGAGAAAAGGGGGTGTCCACGCGGCTCTGCAGCCGAGGAGCACAAGCCGAAGCTTTCCCAGCAGCAGCTCGCGCTGAAGTGGGAGATGCAGTGGCGGCCTTCAGCCGCGCAGGGTACGCCGCACAGCTGCGGTGCCTCTGCGCAGAAGTTTTCCGAACCTTTAGGTTTTGCAGTGATTGTCCCGTCGAGTCATGCATTGTCATGCAATGCAGGTAAGAGCTGCGGTGGCTGGGTGAGGAAACAGGATGCCAAGCAGCTTGACTTGCCGCACTGGCAGTGTGTCGATAGCAAAGCTCCAGACGTGAGCCCCATGTTGTCCGCGACTGCAGACAAGGCGCGGCGTGGTCTTCAGGTGGCGATGGAGCACCGTGCGGTGCTCACCCAACCTTGCGCAGGAAGCGCCAAGCGTAGGACGTCTCCGTGACGTGTCTTTCGTGAGGTCCTGCCCCCGAGCCTGGGTGGTCTCGGCCCGTCGCTTGCAGGAGCCGAGCCGCCGAGCCTTCGAGCCTTCGAGCCGCCGAGCCGGGCCTTGCAGTTTGCAGGGCACTGCCACGGTCGCTTTCAGGACAACCCCGACACCGCTTCCGCCAGCTCTCTTCGGTGCCTTGTCTAACTCTTCCCTTTTTTGCTCTCGTCTTCTCCGTGCTGGAGGTGTCCGGCTTAGGGCCCAGCCCTGCCTTCGCTGGGAAGCATACGGTTTTTCAGGAGCTTGCAAAGTCCAAGCGGAAGCTAAAGTCCGTGCGCAAGGGTCAAAATCAAAGTCCAGCATTTCTTTGGATGACACCTGGATTTACAGTGTGCAGTATACGCCTGGTAGAATGTTAGAGCATTCGGAGTGCTACCGTCTTCACCCGGTGCCAGCAGCTTGGCTCAAAGCCACTTCCAGCCATGACTGCAAAGGACTGGATCATCAAGCGCCGAGCTTAGCTGAAAGAAACTCTGAGTCCACTCATGGGCCAAAGCAGAAAGTCGCGAAAGCGGGCTCCCCGTCACAGCTCGGCCCAGGAATTTCTTAATCCTTGGCCTCCTGGCCGCGCCTCGGAGTTCAAGGGAACCTCTTTGTATTTTCTATTTCTGTGTCGTGGGTCAGTTGGTGTCTCTTTGCTGGCGTCTATGCCTACTTTTCTTCAGGTGATTACCTTCGGCTTGCTTTGCCCGGCACCAGGCTCCGTTCCACTGAGTTGAGGAAGGCTGACGAGAGTTCTCCGCAGGAGAAGCCTTGGATGGCATCGAAATTGGGAGGTTTCGCCTGCCGCAGGCCAAAGAGTTTCAGTCGGAGGCTTCACCTCGCTCAGATCCCCTGCAGGTGGCTGTGATCGTGATTTTCGTTGTGTCGGGTCTCTGCCTGGACTCGATCTCCGAGTGTCTGCAGTACAAGGCAGTGGAGCTCAGAAAGCGAGCTTGACGGCTACTGTTACGGTTAAGGCAGAGTTCTAGCTTTAATAAGGGTTTCCCCGGTGCTGTCGTGCAGCTGCAAGAGGCACTTACCTTGTCCGTGGTACTCGTCCTCGGCATCACCCCGCTCCTCGCTTATCCGATCCTGCACTTCGGGCAGGGCTATGTCGAGGAGACCCTCTTAGAGGCCCGGAGAAAATCTATGAGTTCTGTTGGCTCATGAAACTCACGGCCCACAAGACACACCGGCTGCTGCTCGCAGGGCCTGGCCGTCTTCTGTGTGGTGCCCACGACCTTGTCCTCCGGAGTGACCATGGTGACCCAAGCCAAGGCTGGCTTTTGAATGCAGGAATTTTAGGACGCTGCTGGGATAATAGAGACTCTGCCATCTGCAGGGCAATGTGTCCCTGGCGGTGCTGCTCACGACCATCACCAACCTTCTAGGCCCGAGCCTGAATGTATGAGCTGTATGTCAAGCATCCACGCGAGAGAGTCATGTAAAGGCGAAGGCACACACCCGCACACAGACACGCACCTTGATAAAAACCAACAAACCCCGAGGCGTAGCCACGATGCCGTGGTCTGTGTCAAAGATCTTTGCCGCCAAAGTGCCGATCAAGCCGTCAGAGATGCTTTTCGAGCTCATCTGGTGCCATGGCTGCACGCTGTCTGTTCGCCGATGCTACTGACTCCAGAGCCATGGAAGGCTGACTTTGGTGCCCTTGGTTGTGGGGATGGGACTCCGAGAGGCCTTCGAAACCTTGTATTCTTCCCTTCAGTTGCTTTTTGTTGCTTTCCGTAGAGTTGACGAAGTTTCAATGGGAAGCAGCAGGTGTGGCCAGCAGCCAAGAGCTTTGCGAAGACCAACAAGAAGGTTCTGGGCCTCTGCCAAAACAGGCGCCTGTGGGTACTTACTGGTAGTAAAGGTAGACTCTGACCACATTTTCCCCATGGAAGTTGCATCTTGTTGGTGGTCCTCCTGATGACTTCCAGCGCTCAGCCGAAGATCGTCTCGACAGATGCCCTTGCCTTAGTAACGGGGACACCTGCAGCAGCTTTGATGCATCCTTTGGCTGATACGAGTCCTACGACCTGTCCTGCGCCTTGGGCATCGCTGCCGGCATCCACCTGGTCTATCGTGTTGTGGGTCCGCAGCCTCCGAAGTGAGAGCTCTAGCTTGGTCGTTCGCATACTCCTTTCGACCATACTGCGGCTCAGAGGCTACTTCTCAGCGACGGCGGCGGTGTTGGAGCCCCGCGAGTGGGCCAGCAACCTCAGTTGGTGCTTGCGCTGGGTCTCAACACTTCACGCTGCGGTGCTACGGCGCGGTGTCGACCGTCGTCGACTCTCAGGTGACCGTGGTGCTGATGTCCAGCCAGAAGTCGCTGCCTGTCTGCGTGGTCTGGCGAATTTATTTGGAGAGTGCGAGGAAATTTGGCTAGCGGCAGGGCCAACTCGGTCGGCAGGTCTCCGTGATGTCTGCCCTGCCGCCTGTTCTTCGTGCAAACTCCGGGTCCGAGCCCTTCTACGGTGTTTTTCGGTCACGCAGGGGGAGCGTCAAAGTCTCAAAGCGGGAGGCTGATGATTGTTCCTTGCATCATGGCTCACGCCTCCCAGCTGATCATCGACTCCATCCTGGCAGTCCGCACCGGGCCCAAAGCCTTTGCAACTCGACCGTCAAAGGAGCGAAGTCAGCATCCCACTGAGGCTGGGAGGTGAAGGAGGAGAAGCAGGCGTGCGGGTGTGGGATTCTGCAGATCCTGCAGCTTGCCTGTGAGCCTCGAGCCCAGGCTCCCCTCCTCCCCTCCTGAGACTTCTCGTCCTGCGATGGGCCGGGCGGCCGCACGGCCTTACGGCGCATTTTGGGCAGACTTCCGAAAGTCGGAAGATGTGGGAAGAGCAAAACCCGCGCTCTCGTAGTTGCATCGACGCTCGGCTGTCGGCTCTCTCGGCTGTTCTCGGCTTTCTCCGGCTCGGAACCGGGCCAAGGCCAAAGGCCAAGGGCGAGGCAGAGCGAGGCACACAGAGCGTTGTTGCCCTTGCGGCAAAAGCAAAGCGGAGAGTCCTGGGCCCTCTCACTTCTCCCCCCTCTTACTCCCTCTTCCTCAGTTGTCACCGGTGTGGCCTGAGACCGAAGTCTCTTCCGCAGCTGCCCAAAGGCTCCCATGACGTAGATGTAGGTGGAGGCGTTGGAATTCGCTGCACGCAGTGTGGAGAGTGTCTGGATTCTTAGATGGGCAATGGCCAGTTGCTTCGTAGAGTTCGGGCCTCAGCGGCTGTCCGGGCCCGACATTCGACCGGCCCTACCGCCTCTTGACAGCCTCAGGCTCAGGAGATCTACTCAGGCGCCAGAGCTGCAGCTAGATCACCAGCAACAGTGCGGCACACCTGGTGTCTCTTCAGACCTCTCCACGCATGACCTTCGGAACTACACCAAAGTGTGCAGCTTGGTGCCCGAGTTCCCCGACAGGCTGGGTCCCGTGCGGGTCGGCTGGGTGTTTGCCCAAGCGAGCGGGCTCCCGAGCTGCCGAGGTACAAGAGCCAGCGGCGCTTTGACAAGTTCCGCGTGCGCAAAGGGGCCACGCATCCGGTCTGGGCTGTGGCCGTAGCAGAGGCCATGCCCCAGGCCCCAAGTTTCAACAGGTTCTTGGGCGTGCAGATCCCTGTAGGTGAACATGATGATGGCCGCGGCGACGGCCGACCACGAGGCGCGCCGGTGTCATTCTCGCCTTTTGCCATTCACTACGCTCTCTCTCTCTCTCTCTCTCTCTCGCTCGCTCGCTCGCTCGCTCGCTCGCTCTCTCTCTCTCTCTTGCTCTCTCCTCTCTCCGAGTCTCTCGCGCTCTCTCTCTGTCGGTGAGCCTTCCCCGAGGTTCACCTCTGGGACTTGGAAGTCATGGAACTCCTGGCAGAACGCTCGAGTTCCTTGCAGTCTCGTCTGCAGTCTGTGACCCTTCCTCCCTTCTGAGGTTTCCCTGAAAGGCCACTCAGATCAAGTCTGGGAGGTGAAGTTCTCCAGCAACGAGCCGCACACTCGACTCGAGTTTCCCTGCGGTCCGCCTAGCAGCTGCGCAGCTGCGGATGAGGACCACCCTGGCCTCTGGCAGCAGCGACAAGACCATCCGCCTCTGGGTCGGCCCAGCTAGAAAGCATAGTGGCCAACTGAAGGTGGCCGCTTCATCATGACATGGCAGCTGACAGAGGACGCCCAAGATGGGAGTCCGCTGGGCGTGCTTCGTGGGCACGATGCGGCCATAAGGTGCTGAAGATGCTCGAATTGCTTCCTATGGCCCTGGGTCAGCAGACTTTTCTCCTAAGAGGTGCCTGAGCTTCTCCTTTGCGGGCTATTTGATCTCCGGAGACCAGGACTCCAACCTGGTGTGCCCCCCAGTGACCCCTCTGTGCTGAATTGCTGGCGAGCTCTCCTTCCTGGTCAGTTCCTCTGGGAAGCCGAGAATGCCAGCCCCATCAAGCAGTGGAAGGCCCACCAGGGTGCCGCTCGAAGCCAAGTCTACATCGCAGTCTCGCTCCCCCGACCCTCTCTGTCCTTAGGTCCACAGCGTGGCCTTCTCCATAGCAGAGCCGCTCCTCGTCCCAGCCTGAGGCATTGCTGTATTGCGGTCGGGCACAGTTGGATCATCCTCCGTCTCACAAGGCCCTGTCAGTTGGTGCGGATGGCTCCGTGGCGTCTTGGTACGTGAAGAGGGAGGATGACGACATGATCCTCGGAGGGCGATTTGCAGGCACGCGAAGAGTGACTCTGACCCTGGCAGCTTGGACCGCGGAGCTCCCAAGGTGGCAGCGGCGGCGCTGTGCTGAGTCTCGCCTGTCATCCGGTGTACCCGGGCATCGCGGCCGTGGGGAACCAGGTGGGCCGCACGCTCTGAGGGTGCACCAGAGGAGAACCCTGGCATTACAGGACGGGGGCGTGTGGATCTGGGACTTCACTCCGGACTTCCAGCGAGGCAAAGTCGGACTTTTCCCGTTGAGGTTTTGTGCAAGGCTCTTGCTTGTCAGGCACTGCGGAAGTCACAGGCGGGAGGGAGGAGAAAGGGCGCAGGAACACAAGGCCAGTGGGTTGTCGCAGGCCACCAGCGGCTGCGGGGACATACGGAAGCTGCAGGGGTGCTCGGATTTCCATCCGACAGAGCAGAGCCTCCAGAAATTTGCCGTACTCTAAGGTCTGGTTCTTGGAGTTCTCACGCGATGCCTGCCTGCTGGCATCCGGCTCTGCCGATTGCACTGTTCGAGTGCGCCGTGCCGTAGGCTCTGCAGTTCTTGAAGCCAACTGTTTCTATCGCCCCCTAGTGCTGGGAGATGGAGGTATGGGATGCCTCTTCCATTGCCGTCCCCTCTTTGCTGGCGGTCTTCAAAGCACATGACTCGCGGGTCCCCCAGTGAAGCTGCGGGCAGCCTGACCTGAGTTCCCAAGCCCCAAGCTGGTAAACCCTGAACCTTTACGCCAACTTTAAGCCTTTGTGCTTCGTTAAGAGAGGGGCCCAGGGAGACCCTAAGACCGACTGAGGTGGGTGAGGCAGGTCCGATGGTTCAATCAGCCGGGGAATGGCCGGGGCAAGAAGAGGCTCTTGGTCACTCGGCTCAGGATGGAAGTCTTCGGTCGAGTGATCGCGAAAGATGCATTCTTCTTCATCACCTTACAAAGGATAAGGAACGAAGGCCAACACAAATCCACACCATGCATACATGCTATGTGTGTGCACAGGCAGTTTCTTCCCCTTGCAACGATTCATAGAGTTCACTCATGAACGAAGCACGGAACGGGATGGGCGATCAAATCGTTTCTCAGGCCTTATCGAATGTTGGTGTACATGCATACATATATGCATACATTTACATTTACATTTACATTTACATACATACACATACATTCATACATACATACAGCATGTACACGTACATACATGCATACATGCATGCATGTGTATGTGTGTGGTCATGTTGCCAACAAGATGCGCCAATCATTATGTGTCGTATTCGATATATAGCCACATGTCGACTTGTCTATCCATCTGACGAGGTGACGTGCTCCACGGATGGCCGGGTGGCAGTCTGGGCACCACCTGGACGTTTGCGGAAGATCAAGAAGCTAGAGGCTGCTTCTTCTGGGAACCCGGAAGAAAAGACTAAGCTTCTTCTGCAAGGACGCGCCGTCCCTGAGCCAAAAACTCTACGTGCCCGTGGATGCAGCTGCTGAGGCCTGTAATTGCAACTTTGGCGGAAACCTTGTGGTAATGCCGCATGGCCGCATGGCTGTGTCTTGTGCCCGCTCGCCTCCAGTCGAGCAGAGAGCTGGTTGCCTACACAGGCGCGTCTGAAGTGCAGATGTTGAAATTTGCGTTGTCGTTTGAAGCTCCGGCCAGGCGACCAGAGCATTGCTGGCACTTTGCAACCCTCTTTGCCTCTGCCATCGCAGTTGCCCAAGTTCGTTTGCTCTAGTTTGGCTGAAACCCTGGCGGCTGACACTGACACTCTCTAGGCCATCGCCGCAGCTTGCCCTGCCGCCGCCACTGAAAACCGAGCCCAACAGACCTTCAAAGCCAGTGCAAAGTCCGACTACCAACGCGCCTCCCCCACCTGCGGCCTGCAGCTTAGAGGCTGCACTGCTCGGACGCGGTGGTTCTCTGAAGCGCAAGTAGCTAAGAGTGAGGCCACGGCCCCACCGCGAGGCTTGGCTTGGCTTTGACCATTGACTGGGAACAAGCGAGAAGGGATTGCACACCCACCTTTTCAGGTGCATCGCTGGGGCCAGTGAATGAAGGCATCCGGCTCGGATCGACGCTGACCTCCTTGAAGTCAGCCTCAACCTTGGCGTGAAGTGCTTCGCGCAGTTCGGCTGAAGTCTCACAAGACCTGGGGATCACCGAGTGATCTTCCAGGGAAGGTGTACAGCTGACCAAACAGTCGAAGAAATGCTTGACTTAGTTGAAGCTATGCACATGGAGACTTCCAGGGAGTTGTGACATGACCAGGCGGCATTGCTGACATCGGGTCCCGATGGGTCCCCTTCGAAAGGCAAATCCGGTGTGATGGGATAGCTCGAAGAGCATCCTCACTTGAAGCAGGGCACATGAGGGAAACTGAAAGGAGGTGGTGGGAAGTGGCTTTCCACTTCTTGAGGGGCAGGCGACAAGATGCGTGACTTCTAGGCTCAGAGCCATCAATGCAAGTTCATGTTCGACTTCAATTCGCCTTCCTCATACCCGCATGGTTCCTCTTGTGATACGTCCTCGGCATCTTTGTTTCATAAGCTGGAGACTCAGAGTCTAGCATGGCCTTGTGCGGCCGCAAGAAGCCCTCGAAACTCGAAACTTCAGCCCTCAGCCAAACCTGGTCCATATTTATTAGATCCCTCCGCACCCCTTGCTGTGCTGTCGCCCTGCGCAATGGGCAGCATCTCGGCTTCACGGGTTCTCACTTATTCAGGAAAGGCAATTGGCCTTCTCAGGCACGTCGTTTCAGGTCATCTGTGGATGCTATCTTCACTAGTGGCAGACGGGGAAGACCTGCTTCATTCGAGGCATCGATGTGGCGGGAGATGGGGAAGAGGCGTTTGATCTGGTCAGAATGCGCGCACGTCTTCTCTTGGTACAGAGTTTCCAGGATAGCCACTGGCTGCGAGGACTTCGCAGCAGGAGCTCTCGAAGAGCATACGGTTCAGCAGCGCTGCTGAGACCGTTGAGCTGTAGGCGCCTGTCGCAGCCCGACTCTCCCGGCTCGGCCGAGGCCGAGGCGGCAGGGAGGGCGGCGGGAGAGCTTGGCGGGCGCGGAGCTGCCCAAACATGGCAGGAAGAAGGGTCCTCGCCCGACCTGGAGGCCCTCCGGGCACGTCAGCAGAGGCTGAGGGAGCTGAAGGCCGGATTGGCGGCGGCTCACTTGGAGGCGCGCGAACTAAAAAACCTCGGACTTGCCTACGACGTCCGAGTCACCATGTCAGGATGAGGAGGAGGAAGAGGAGCTGGAGGACTGCCAGTCGTCGCTGTGCTCGCACGTGGCACTTCTGCAGCACCGCTGTTCCGCAGGAGGAGGACGATCCGGAGGAAGAGGAGGAAGACGAGGCGGGCGGCGGTTTGGCGGCGTGCTCGCTTCGTGGTCCGTCACTGAGGTGACCTCAGACTCGCCGGAATCCTTGTCCGGTCCGTCCCAGGCATCTGTCGGCCAGGCAGGTGAGGGAGGCGGAGCCGGCAAAGGTCTCTGAACCGCATGGCCTGAGGTGAACTCGGGCTCAGCGCCCGTTGGGGTGCTCGTGCGGTGCCGGCCCTTGTTGAAGGAGGCCCGTCTCCGCAGTCTTCTGTCCAAACTCCGAAGCGACTTGGGCCGCAGGGAAGTCGCATCAAGCTCTCTGCCAGTTCCGCGAAGAGCGGCAAGGCAGCGAAAAAAGAGGGAGAATCGGCCGAGTCGGTCGAGAGTCGGCTTTCAGATGCGTTCGTCTGGAAGGTGATGCTACGGCTCCAGCCTGAAGAACAGAGCAGGTGGCGGCCCGCGGGTTGAGTTGCAGCTTCTGCGGGAGCTGCTTGGCACTGCTTGGCAAGGAGCAGGCAATCCGAACCCAAGGTTTTCCGCTGCAATGGCAGGATGCCAAGAGGAAGGCTCCACGGAAACTCTGACAGTGGCCTTGGGCCTTCGCTCTGAGGCTTCATCAGCGAAGAAGGGACGCAAGCAGAGCTCTGCTCAGCAACCGTGTGGCCGGCCTTTTTACCGTCGCAGCCATGACATCTCTGAGGATGTGTTTGAGCACGTTGCTCCCGTCGTGGACAGGCTGCGGAGATCATGTTAGTGTGGGAAGTCCATTCCATGTAGTAGTATCTTCAGGGTGATGGAAGGCTACAACGGCGTCGTGTTCTGTCCGGGCCCTCTTTGATTAGACCTTGCAGCTGCCTGAGCTAAGAATACCTGTACAACCCCAGGCTACGGAATCACAGGCGCAGACGAAAGCTTTTTGGACCCTTGTTCCCTGCGGCAGCCCAGATTCCTACTCCACCTTGCAAGGATCCGGCAAAACCCACACGATGAGTGGCCCGCCAAAGGAGCCAAGTCACGTGGTATGCTAGCTAGGTGCGCTCGGCATCCGCTCTGGTCAGGAGCCCTTGGCGAAGCAAGTCAAGGATGGGCTCCGGCCGATGAGCACAAACTTCTTGCTGCATTACTAAGAGGCATCTATGACTGAATTTGGGAGGATCCGGCACCCCCAGAGGTGATCGCTGCGCAGCAGGGCATTGTCCAGGCTGGTCGAAGCTTCACTCTTGACCTCTCCGACCCTGTGTCGTGTAGAAGAGTGAAGTCTGTTGGGATCCTAGAGTACCAGTATATTTCATCCCTGCTGCAGCGCGCCGCCAAGCGGATCTTCGAGTTCATCCGGGTCCCAAACCCCAGCTGGAAGTCTTTGGCCTAGAGTGCCCTTTTGGATGAGATGCTTCAGGACAGGAGTGCGCGGGGTGAGATGTTCACCGTCGAGGCGACCCGTGGCCTAGGCCGCGGCGCAGCTTTCCCCGAGCCTCGGAGTGGCGCAAAGAGGCGTCCTTCTTGGAGATCTACTCTCCCGATGGAGCGCGTGAGAATTTGATCGACCTCCTGGCAAACAAAGCTGACGAGGCAGGAGCTCCAAAGGGCAGACGGAGGGGGGTGTCTTGAAGAGGGGGGGCTTTTTGGTGTGCCAGGCCAAGCTGGAGGTCAAGCAGGCGCCAGACTGTTGCAGACTTCCCCAGGCTCCCAGGCGCCCAGGCTGCCTTCTCAGGATGCGCTGGTGGGCCACAAGGCTTTCATGTGCGAGGGCCTGAAGTCGGTCCCCATCCGGTCTCCAGACGAAATGCGCCAGGTCGGGCCTCGGGCCCCGTGGCTACCGTTAGTCGTGCCGAGTCTCGAGAGGTTCTGGAAGGCGGCCGCCGCCGATGCACCTACATGGAGACCTCCAGGAGTCCAACTCTCTACCCGACTCGCCTCATGTTTTTTTTTAACATGCCAGCTGCCAGCTTGCCTCGCAGCGAGGAACTGTGTGTCTTCGAGGCCGTTGAAGAGACTGTCAGCACAGATGATCGGTGCTTTTGTGTTTCTTGCAGTTTGCAGTTTCCACTCTGGCAGCACATGTTCAAACGCGCAACATGTCGGACATCGCAGTCAGCAGCCTGCAGAGGCCAACAAGAAACAGAAGCCACAAGTAATTCAGACAACACGATTCGATATAGGTGATGTGCTAAGCACATCTCCTGTAAGCAGAGGCTGTTGTTATTCTTCTGCATAGTGCATGATGCTTTGTCTTGTGCAGCTATCGCGTAGCCGTACTAAATATTACTAGCGCATACATACATGCATGCATACATACAGACATACAGACATACATGCGTACCTGCATACATACAGACATACTGACATACATACGTAGATATCATCGATACATATATAGGTCATAGGCCCCCCAAGCGATGAGATGCCGCTTCCTGTGGACAACCTGGATGAGCTGCACAGCCTGAAGGCTTGGGCCAGGGCTTTGGGGAGGGGCTGAGCCCATCTCATCTGTAGGTTTTCTTTGTGACAGGTGGATGGCCTCTATCCCGACACTCGCAAAGATGAAGTGTGGGACTTCTTCAGGAAGTTCATGGCCAAGATGGCTTAGACCAGAGAGACCAGAAAGCGGCAGCAGCCTTGAGCCTACGGATCTCAGGTGCGGGAGGATTGGCGATGTTTACCTTCCACGAGACCATTCGTCCCAGAAAAACAGAGGCTTTGCCTTCGTCCGTTTCTACGATGCTCGGCTTCGACAGTGTGGCTGGGCTCTGATTCAAGTTGGCGTTACTGAAGCTCAACCTGGCGAGGATCGCCGCGACGCCGAAATGTGTGTGCAGGAGCAGGGTGGGATCAAGAGCCACCTGCAGATGTCTCCCTCGCTTCCTTTCTTTTTCGCTCTCGCTCTTTTCTCTCTCTCTCTCTCTCTCTCTCTCTCTCTCTCTGTCTCTCCCTCCCAATCCTCCCTCCTCAGCAAGGGAAGGCACAAGTTTCTGCATGCTTCTTGCTGCTGTCTTGCCTGAGGACATGGACGGGCAGATGTTTCAGGGGTCGAAGCTTCGGGTGAACTTCGCGCAGGCCTTTGCCTCTAACGCGTCTTCCCAGCCGACGCGCTACTCCTGTGCTATCCTGTGCTACTTGGTGCAAGGTGGCTCGAGGGACGGACCCGCCTCCGAAGCGGCAACCGGCTCGGTCTGGCCGGTCCAGGACGAGCTCGAGAAGGCAGTTCTCGAAGCGCCTTCAAGCTTACAACCGTGGTCTTGTCCTTATGGACCTGTCAGGCGGAGCAGTCGCAGTCGCAGCCGCAGTCGGAGGAGGCCTATTTTCTGCCATCCAAGCCTTTGCAAACTGCGCCGTGCGACAGTTTGCCCTGCAGGGGGCGCAGCCGCAGCCGCAGCGAGAGCCGAGGCGCGAGCCGAGGCATCGAAGGCCACTGCGTGAGCGCTGCGACCCTCTCTGCAGGCGGGAGGAGCAAAAGGAAAGAGCGAAGTGACCGAAGCGTGAGCTCAAGCAGGCCGTCTCATCCCCTCTCCTTGAGCTGCTTTGGACCCCGTTCCTCGATGCGTTTGTTGCCGCTTGCATCTCGTCCCTTGTGCTATGTTTCATGCCTCTCTTGTGCCTTGTGCCGCTTGTGCCAACAGCGGTTCTGCCGCTCCTCGAGTGTTCCTTCAGCTCGAGGAGCCTGAGCCGCAAAGCCAAGCGAGGCGCGTTCGCTGCTTTGTTCTGTCTTTGCCACCTCTCTCTCTCCCTCTCCCTACCTCTCTCTCTCTCTCTCGAGGGAGGCGCTGATGCAGCCGGCCTGGGGTCGCGGCCTCTTTCAAAGCTCTGAGCGAGACTTCGCATGTGCAGCTCTACTGCTGCGAAGCTCTGGTGAGCTCTGTGAAGCACAAAAGAGCCGCTCACGTGACTCATTTTCGGAGTCTGAATGTGTGGCTGTGACGTGCAGTGCAACTTGGGATCTCTCCTGAACAGGTCGCACTGTCTCTTTACCGTGGTGATCGAATCGACCTCCAGCTCCTCCATCAGGCAAGGTCTCCCAGAGAAGTCCACAGAACCCTTTTTTCTCAATAAATATCCTAACACCTTACAGAATCTTGCGGCGTCCAGGTGTTCTAGACCCTCAGATCCTCCTGGCATGACTTGGCAGGGATACAGACCCAGATGTCCGGCGAGGGAAACTGGTCTTGGTGGACTTGGCTGGGTCGGAAAGCTTGAAAAAGGCTGGTGTCCCAGTTTACTCTCCGGTCTGGGTGGTCTGCTCCCATGAGGTGCAAGCATCGATATCCGAATCCGTCTGGCTAGAGTCCGAGTGCAGCGATTGCAGCCTAGGTGATGGCCGTCCAGGAGGCAAACGAAGAGCTCAGAAGGAAGCAGGTCTGGAATGCTTCGGAGACGTGCATTACCGCCGACCTGTGTTCTGCAGGCGATCGGAATCAACAAGGTTCTCACACACCTGGGCGCCGTTGTGAATAACCTCAACGCAGGCTCCCCTCCTCTGAAGCTTTAAAGCAGAGCTCCACCCGACCGGCCCTGCGAGGCTACGAGAACAGCACGGGCTTCCGGAACTCGGCCCTGACCATGCTCCTGAGGCCCAAACAGCCGAGCCCCAGCCCCTCTCTTTCTAAAAAAAAACTCCCAAATTGCTCCTTGCGGTCCTTGCTCCCTGCAGGGACTGCCTGGGGGGTGGCGCCCGAGCACTGCTCGTGGCGAACATCGGCCCCGAAGCCGACTGGTCCAGCGAGACCGCCATGACGCTGAGGCGCGCCGATCCGATGCGATGCCGCGCACAATAAAAAGCCCCCCCCGCCCCGTCCTTGCAAGCCTCCCTCAAGCTCGTCCTTCAGGTTTGCGCAAAAGATGATGAAGGTGAAGAACGTAGAGCAGAAAGTGGTCATCGATGCCTCCCAGAGCCTTGGCAGCATGCTTTGTTAGCGGTTAGCGGCGCGTCGGCGGCATGATGAGCTGATGAGCTGTCTGTCCAGGAGTAATCTGGTGCAGATGCGGAAGCGGCCCCAACCGGCCTGTATTTGTTAAAGCCACCCTGCACACGTTGGGAGTGCTTCATGGTGGTCTCTGCGTCTGAGCGTGCCGTGCTGCTCTCCTTTCGCTCGGCAAACGTGGTGTGGGGCTCAAGCTGTTAAAGCTTGGGGGGATCATCCGGGGGCGCGCCTGTACACAGAGCCTTGCCCTTTTGAAGAAAACGCTGCCCTGCTGGGACCCCTTGAAAAAGCTTCTCGGCCGGAGTCTAGTTAGAGCATGCAGGCTGTATTTCGGTTGTGCAGGAAGCAGGAGGTGCACAACTTTCAGAGCACCGGAAGATTTCCCCCAAGGTCACTGCTCATACGCGTCCAGCATGAGCAGTCTGCGCCTTATTTAAACCGCGTGGCAGTGAGGTGAGTGCTAAGAGTTCAACCCTGCCAAGTGCGCTTTGGGAGGCTCACGGAGCCGCAGCCCAAGCTGCAACAGCGACCTGAGCTGGGAGGAGGCGCCACGAAAGTTACAGGAGGCTTACATGTGTGACCTGAGCTGGGAGAGATGGGTCCTTGCAGTGAGTTGCAGCAGCTGAATAGGTGAACTTTGCGGAATACGAAGAGGCCACTCCTTTCCACCAATTTGGAAGTTTCAGTGCGCAGTGTAAGTCTCGACGCTTTCAGCTCTCCGACGATGACTTGCGCGATGCCGTCGTGGTGTCTTCACGAGGACGGCCCCTGCAGACTCTGACAGCTACTGCACGGCCGTAGCGAAATCTGGGCGCAGCCTGAGACCGGAGAAACGGCAGCACACAAACGCACAGATGAACCACTAGCCACGTTCAGCTGTCGGATGGCAGGCTTCGCAAAATGCAAGAAATTTTTGGCAATTTGGGAAAAGCAGCATCAGCATCAAGTGCGCACAGCGAAGACGAACAAGCCAAGTTCCTGCGTTGTTCTTGCGGTATGTCAAGATGACAGCAGCTCACAGAGATGGTGTTGCTGCAGCCAGAAGGCAGAAGGAAGCAGACCAGTAGGATTCTTTAACTGTTTTGCTGTGTCTTCCTTTAGCGGTGTGCCCGCTTCCCCAGTCCCCAGCTCGCCAGAAGCTACGCCTGCACCACGCCCCGATGAGACCCGACCCTTGGCAGCAAGCGCTTGCAGAACCGGCTAAGTGCGCGAGCCCGCTGAATCTGAGGTTCTGTGTCGGAGGCAAGGGCAGCGGCTTTGAGCGGTGGCCCGCGAGAAGGATCTTGTGCTGGCAGGAATCTGACAGCGCCACAATTTCGTCAAGGCAGATAGGAATGCAGAATGCTCCAGAACAACGTCTCACGCCTCTTTCGTGCAGGGACGGCTCTGAGACTCCGCAAACGCCGACAGAGGCCTAGAGAGAGAGAGAGAGAGCATCGGTCAATCGGCGTGCGACAGCGGGTCGCGAGAAGGTGCAGTACTTCGACCTGACCAAGCAGCCGGTCTTCACCCATCCGAACACTGCTGCGCGCATTCTCCAAGCTTGGTGCTTGCCTTATAAAAGCTCAGCATGTCATATGTCATGTGTCCTTCATATTGGACGCAATGGCGGTGGATTGGTGTGATTTCCGATTGCCAGGTGGCGCACCATGCGTTGTCCATCGATTCACCTACCCGACGAGGTAGGAAGAAACCTTTTGCCGTGTTGAAGTGCACTGGATGTCCAGCTTCAGTCGGGATCAGAGCCTCAGCGGATTGGCAGGAAGATGACATCATCGAAGAGTTAGCATGCGGCTTTGCTTCTGGCACGCTGCGGGAGCTGAATGCACGTGAACCGTGGCGGCTGCAGTCACGGGCTCAAGCATGGAAGCAGCCATGAGTACAGAGGCAGCACATGCTCCCCGTCTTGGCCTTGGAGAACCAGTTCGGGTCCACCTCGAGGGTCAGGGAGAGGTGAAAGGTCGGGTCCGTGAGGGTGTCGCGCGCTTTCTGGGCATTCCCTATGCTGTCGCCGAACGCTGGAAGCCGCCCCAACCTCCGCCTTCCTGGCGCGAGCTGCCAGACAGGCTGGCGAGATGTCCTCAGCCAGGGCACCCAGGCAAAACCTACGAGGGCTATGCCCTTGAAGATGACGAAGACTGCTTGCAATTGAACATCTGGACACCGCTGAGCGCCATGGAAGACGGCACCCAAAAGTTGCCCGTCCTGGTGTACATCCATGGTGGTGGAGGAAAATCGCATTCTGCGCATTGCCCCAGGGAAAGTGGCCACCAGCTCGCCCTCAAGCAAGGCGCAGTGAAGGAATACAGAATGCGACATGCAGAAGGGAGCATGTCATATTCCCTCCCACGCACGTACCCACAGCCACAGCAGTCAATTATCTAGCTCACTGAACAGAGGCCTCTGCTGCGTAAACATCAACTACCGCCTCGGGATCTTTGGTTTCCTTGCTCACCCGGAGCTGTCGCAGGAAGACCGGGAGAGCATGTCTCATGGGATGGCAGCAGGAACTGAATGAGCGCTTAGTAAGTTTACATTTTAGTGGTTTCGTTTCGTATTTGAAAGACGCATGCTGGGTGGAATTTGGCTCTTTGAGGCAACTCGTGTGATCAGGATCTGGGAACTATGCGATTCTGGATCAGCTCTGTGCGCTGAGATGGGTCCAGTGCCACATTGACAGCTTCGGTGGAGACGCCTCGAATGTGACCATCTGGGGCTTGTCCTCCGGCGCCCAGTACGTCTCGACTTTGTTGGTTTCGCCAGCTGCCTCGGGGCTTTTCCACAAAGCCATGGTCCCCAGGAAGGAATGTACTTACCTGCTTGTAGTGTAGCACCAGTTAGTCTACAGTAGTTGGTTGTCACTAGCTGAAGTGTGAGATGTAATGTGGAGGTCAAGACCCAGAGAGCTTCTCGATCCCTTGCCCCCGCCAAGGTGCAGAGCTGTGCTGACCTGAACAACGTGCGCCAGCTAGACTCCTCTTGTGACGTGTGGCTTGGCTGGGGAACTACTGGTAGTTTCTAGCCGCCCTGGAAGCCGGTCAGGTGGCTGGGGAAGACGGCCGAGGCTTGGGGCGTGTGCCTTGGGGAGGAGAGCCGGTGAGCTTAGCTCTTGGGCAAGGGAACCTTTCCTCTGTAATTTTTTCCAGGAGCTGGGCTGTGCAGCGGGCGGCCCTGGTCAGCTGGCGGCCCTGCGCTCGCTGCCGGCGGTGGCCCTGGTGAAGAAGACCTTCGCTTCTGCGGCCAAGGACTGCTACGAGCCGAGCATCGACCGAAGGGACCCCAAACTCTCCGTGAAGCCCCGGTCCTCTGTGGAGGCTTTGCAGGAAGGCGGATATCCGAAAGTACCGGTGCTTCTCGGTGTCACGGAGTGTGACGGCTTGGGCAAGGCACCAACATGGTATCTAATAGGCTATCGTAATCGAGATTCTATAAAGACTAAATATATCAAGAGGGACTTCTGTTAACTCAGAAGGGAAATCGCGAAGAGCCGAAGGTGGAGCTGGAGCAGACGCTCTTCCAGGAGCTGCGCAGCCGTTTGGAGCTCGAGGCGCTCTTGTCCCGAAACTTCCCGGCCGACACCGGGCCGGACAAAGCCCTGGCTCGCTACTGGGACTGGGGCCCGGAGCCGGAGCTCTCGGAGCTCCCGGAGCTCTCGAAGGCCGAGGAAAGGAAGAAAGTGCAGGAGGCACTGGGAAAACTGAGCAATGATCTCTGGTACTTTGCAGGCAGCTACTACATGAGCCGGCTGCTGGCGCAAGAGACAACCGTCTATTGCTACTGCTTTGCCGGCTTGAAACATAGTGCCCATGGAAGCGATGCCATGTACTGGAGGGGAATGCCCAAAGGAAGTCTGCCTGTCCTTATGTCCACTTACCTTGGAAACTTTGCACGGTCGGGGGATCCGAATGGACCGGATCTCCCAGCTTGGAAACCGGGATATCGTTGGCAGATGCATCTCGGACATCACCCTGCGATGCGGAATCTTGAGACAGAGGCCTTGGAATGGTACGAGTTCCTAGCTAGGGAGTACTTTTCCAAGGTGATCCTGCAGAGAGTGGCGGTTGGCACTGAGCCTGGCGAGTGCCAGGAGGTGAAGCGAATGCGCGTCCGAGATGAGCAAAACTGCTTGTGGCCGATGTGGTTCTAAGCAAGAGAGGCAAGAGCCTTTCCCACAGCCACCAAGGCAACCCCCAGCTGCGAAGGCTCGGAGGGCTGTCTGTGAGGATCACGTCGCGCCCTTTGGAGTCTTGCAGGTGTTGCCCTGCGTGCCCTTGGTTCTGCCCAGTGTCTCGTCAGAGAGCTCCGAGTAGATTTGCTTTGCGAGCTGAGACTCGCTGACTCGCACGCGCTCACGGCTCTGCCAGGTGGGACCTTTGGGAGCGACAGATGGAAGAGGACCGCATGAAAAAACTGAAGCGGCGCTTGCACTCTCACTCTCTCCTTCCCTTGAAAAGGACATGCCGCTGATTTGGGAGAACCTCGACAGGTCCACTGAGAGCTCACAGTCGGCACTTGGCCACTATGGCGGCGTCCTTGGTGCAGGCGCTGGGTGATCTATACGATGCTCCTCTGGCTGGTGCTCCCCTCCCCCGCCTGCAAGGCCAAAGCCTTCCGTGTCCTCCAAGCCCCCGTCCTCCAGAGGTACTGACCTTCTCCTTCCAGTCCTGGTCCTTCCAGTTTCACGTGCCAATGGCTGTGGTCCGGAGCCGAAGGAAGAAGACCAAGAAGGGGCCAAACCCGTTTGAGTTTGGGCTCCGCCTTTGCGTCCTCCTCGTGACCTCGGTGCTTCGCCCAGGCCAACTCCTCCAGTGCCGCCCAGGCCAGGGCCGCGGCGGCCGTTTCGGTTTTAAAAGAATCCTGGAAGGGTTCCCCCCCCGCGTCTGACGAGGCGTCCAAGACCCCCGCGGTGGTGCAGCGCCGACCCGCTTTCACCGAAGACGAGACCAGACCCGCAAAGAACACACCCCCATGGCCAGATGTTGCCAGGTCCAAGTCCGGCACGGCGATGAACGCTTCGAAGAAGCTCCTCCTGTCCTGCCCTTAAAAGCCCTTCTTTGAGAGCGTGTGCCGTGTGCCGCTTTGTCGCGCCCGGCAGGCTGCCGAAGTACCAGATCCCGAACTTGGGATCCAGCCTCTCGTACCGACTCAAGAGCGGCTCGGCGCAGCGGGATCGGCAGATCCCTTGTCCTTAGCCTTGAAGATGGAAGTTTGCAACGCATTTTGAGGCAACTGGACGGCGGCCATCAAAACGCAGACAGCCTTGGTCAAGGACTCAGACCTGCGACGACCACTCAACTGCGGAAGCCGCTCAAGTTAACTTGTCAGGTTATTCGCGTCAAGACCCGCCTTGTTGCCGCCACGATCACGGATGTTGCGGAGGTTGGCCATCTACTTGCCCCTGACTCATTATCGGCTTCGAAGTTCCTCTCACGCAATACCGCAGTACCATAATCATAGGGGCCTTGAAATGACTGGACCATGCTTGTCGACGAGCTCAGGGCGATGCGGAGAGCGCTTGGCTGAGCGAAGCCAGGGTGCGCGCGTCGGATGAGACTAACAACCAGCTGTGTGTCTATGCGTTTGACTGTGTGTGGCTGCGCGTGTATGCATTCATGACAAGCAGTGCCAGTACGTCCCAAGAACGCGTGGAGCAAACTGTCAGGTCTGATAAGTTTGCTGATGCCGAACACGAGTCGCTTGTGACGGCGAGCACGCGATCTCGTGAATTTGCAGGTGCGGCTTGCACTTGGCACCGGGAAGGCCGTCTGCGGCAAGTTGCGCAATGCGTACATGGTTCGGCAGACTTGCTGTCTGGTCGTCTGGGTGAGGCCGTCTGGTCAAGAAGCGAGCTCGAGCCGAGCCTTTGGCCATGGAGCTTTCCATCGCCCGGGCGACGCCCCTCCTCTGTGGCAGGAGCACAGCTTGGACCATGGCTTCCGACTGTCTCTGTGGGAGATGCCTTGCAGGACTCCTTCCGCCACCGAAGCCCGTGAAGCAGGCGACTCTTGCTGCAAGGGGAACCGCAGTTCATTGAAGTCCGGTCAGGGTGCGGACTTCAAAGTGTGGTGGTGGCTGTTGCGGCAGAAGGCCTGTTCCCGTGGGCACGGATTCTGTCTACGGAGTTGACATGAAAGCTGGCAAGCCTTTGCGAGATTGCCGGGGAGATTATGGAGACTTATGCGAAGCGCTGGCCTCAACTTAACATGCGGAGCCCTTGAGAAAACAATCATCCACAACTTCTTGGTTTTGTGTATGGCCAGCTGCAGGTTGCCATGCCTCACCACTCCCAGCGCTCAAGTTCCCTTGCTGACCTGGACGCCCCAGCCAAAGACACTGAAGCTACTTCCACTGCTCCAGCTTCAACCAGACCTTCGCATCGCGCCCAAGCTATTGCTCATGATCCGTCCAACCACTTCCTTGACCACTCGAATGTGCGGCTCCCAAGCGGGTTGTTTCGTGGCACATGCCTGTTCTACGAAAGTAAATGTTCACAGCGGCAATCTTGTGCAGTTGGTGCTTACACATGACATAGCCACAGGTTCTTCAATCAATGGCAGCCGGAGATGCCTGACATGCTGCCCGCGGCCCCTCTGCGTCCAACTCATCTTCCTTGTGCGGGGCCCTCACAGTGGCCAGATTTCTGAAGACTTGAGCCGATGGCCCTTTGCACGGGTGCTGTTTGCCGTGTGTGCGGGTCTAAGACAATGGCAGGCAGAGTGAAGAAATTGAACAGCTTTAGTGTTCGGATCACCGGAGGATATGAACATGCTTGCAGCTCTTCGAAGGAGAATTGGGGCCCTGATTTCAAGAGCGACGTATTCTGTTGTGGCTCACCAGGAGCCAACACGGAACACTGGAGTGTCAATTGTAGTAGAACAACCCGCAAAGGCTCCTTCGATTGATTCAACCGAAGGCCCTTACACCACTGGTTTTTCACTATCAACTTTCTGCGTGTTTCCATTCGGGTGCCTACAGGAATACACAATGGTCAACATGACTGCATGCTGCGTCAGCAAGAGCCTCTCGTCATGGCCCTGTCCCAGCACCTGACATCTTTGAATCTGCCTGCTCAGTTGGACTGCTTGGCTGTGGTCTCCCACAACACCCGGCGCTTGGCGGCTTGGCCAGCATTTAGCGTGCCTTGCCCCGTAAAGCCCGTGACGCCGCGCCGTGGTTGCGGGGCGCTCCAGTCGCTGCGACTACGGGCGACTACAGTTCCATGTCAGAAGAGTTATCTTCTGGCGACGGCAGCATTCACAGCGATATCGAGAGAACCAACAGGAGCAGCACTGGCACAGGCACCAGCATCATCATCACGTCAGCAGCCATAGTATTAACTAGTCGGTTAGTAGGATCCAGCTTCAGGTCCAGGTGAGCCCGGCATACCCGTTGACCATATACAACGCAAACGCGCGCAGCTCAGTTGATGACAGTTCTGCCAAGAGAACATGCAGTAAACTTGTCGGTTTCTGCCTGGTTGTTGACGAAGCGAGCGGGTGGTGGCGGCCCCAATCGGAACCAATATCCTACTTGCATAGAGTGCCGTCTCCAGCGGACTGCCCCGGAAGCGCTAGTTGGGGGGTCTGTTCTGGTTGTGGCACTGGCACTCTTCGGAGACTGACTTGTTGCTTTGGGCAGCGCTTGGAGCGGCCTGTGCGGTTTGTTCTTTTTCGGGTGGCCTGGTGGAGCCTGGAAATCCATACATGGAAGTGGCAGGCTGCTGCAGGCATAGAATATGTAGAATTGCTGCTACCTTTCGTTTCTTCTTCGCATTCCTTTCCCCGAGGCCACGAAGAGGAAGGCTGAGAAAGAGAGGCGGCCCGGGCTCTGCAAACGAGGGCGAAACGGGGGGCTCTTCAGGATTTCTTTTCAGGATCATTTGCGCCAACCTACGCGCTTTGCTTCCGCGGTCTTGAGGGCTTCCGTCTGTTGCTGGTCGAAGCTATCTCATGCTCAGAACATAGAAACGGCTACAAGTCAAGGGCTGCGGAAGATCACGAAAGGGCGGTCTCAGGCCCATTCGAGAATGTTTGTTGTCGCCAGGCGTGAGAGCAATGCCGGCGCCAAGCGCCTGCAGAAGGGCCTGCGCAAGGCCCCGGTTCGGTCTGTACCCTAAACCCTAAACCCCTAAACTTTGCCCTAAACCCTATCTTACGTTGGACTCATCGCCGCTTTCGTCCCGAGGCAAAGAAGAAAGCGGAGGGCATCCTCGAAAAGTCCAGGATGCAGGCTCTTCACCACCTGGAGAAGGCGCCTCTGGCGGCTTTGCGCAGCTCCTGCCTTCGATCGCTAAAGTAAGTAGTAGTCGAGCAAAACTAGCAAGTAATGAATACATATGATCGTATTATCATCGAGATGATACTGTATCATATCGAAATAGTAGTCAAAAAATACATACACACATCTACTTATATATATATATATATATTATGCATTCTATGTATATATATATATATATGTATATATATATATATATATATATATATATATATTAATTGCAGAGTTCTAGCCTTTTCAGGCACAAACTTGAAAAACAAGAGGAATTTCTCCGTGGCCAGTTTGGCGATAGCCGATCGGGCCATACCGAAAAATCGGCGTGGGAGGTGGAAGTGAATAGGCTCGCTCGATCGCAGCCATGTCGTTCCCTCCCGCTGGCTTCCATCAAGGTCGGCAGATGGCGGCTCCGATGGCCCCACAGTTCGGGTTGCCTCGCCGGCTTGGTCAGCCTGAGAATCCGGGTAACTGGGGACACTACGTTCCAGGCGAGGCAGAGGCTCCCGAGAATCCCGCGGCTCCAGCTGCCGCATCCGGCGATTGGGGCTCTGGAGGCTGGGGTCGCGACGATCGTCGTGGACGTCGTGACCGCGGGGCTCCTGCTGCCCACAACCCCTTTGCTGTTCAGCGGCCTGAGTTCGTTCGCCAGGTCGTGGTCGAGGAAGAGGACGAGACCCAGAACTCGCTCCTCGTCATCGACAACCGCGATGACCGGGTGATCTCCCCGTTCCAGAACTGGCTGGCCGAGGAGATCATCTCGAATGCCGCCAGCTCGATCAATGTGCTGACGGAGCGGGACTCGGTCATGCCCCCGAACTCGGGCTACCACTGTTCGCTGTTCGCGAACTATACGCTCGATGGCATCAAGGCCGTTCTGCTCTTTTCGATGTCTTCGAAAACAGGGGGACCATGTGCTCAGTGGGACTCCTACGCGAGTCGGGCGCTATCGCACCCGGCTTTCCAGCCCTTCACTTGGCCGGTGATGTTCGACACCTCGGCCACCTATGTGGATGTGAAGGTCTTCAATGGAAACGAGGTCCTATTCCATTGGGTCTTCAGGGGCTACCGCTCGGACTCGGATCTTTCTGTCCAGCAGCAGTTCTGCGACGAGGTGTTGATCCGGTCAGCCAACGAAGGATGGTTCCGACCCTCGATCGTCATCTCGGTCTTCGTTGGATGGAAGGTCTCCGTGACCTCGTTCGAGGTTGGAGCCCGAGTCTACACGATCGGCCCGAGAGGAGCAGTGATGGCGAGCGACCATGCCATGAGCACCTGTGAGCTCAGGGTGACAGAACGCTCGTCCCGAGAAGGCTATGGGAACGACGCCGATCGTGTTGAGTTTCGGTTCCGGGACGCCAATAACCGGATCGATCTCAAGTGCGGGAGGACTTCGGTGCCTGGCACGTGGCTCACAGTCAGCCACATCTCGGGCCCCGCTCTGATCAGCACGATCCAGGCCTGTCGGACCCAGCGTGCTCGCGTGGAAGGTCCAGACCACATCCAGCAGTTCGCGCAGCTGTCTGCGGTGATCGCCCCCTGGTACCACAGTGCGTTCGCCCACGAACAGGTGCAAGTGGGAACTGCGACAGACGAGTTCCCGATGGATCATGGGAACTTCCACGTACGGGCTAGATCTAAGCTCAGGGTCTGCCCACTGGAGTTCGTCCGGCAGGAGGCGCTCGCCCACCGGTCGCACGATGAGAACAACGCCGTTCGAGCTCGGAACGGCCCCCCGGCTCTCATGGAAGAGGCGGCTCGGCAGGCGGTTCAGCAGCTGGGCTCCTCGGTCACTTCGGCGCTCACCAACATGCCCACCTCGGCTCAGCAGGTGTTCGACCAGAGGGTGAGCACTGTTCCGGTGCCGGAGGAGGGCCAGCTCGGCCAGGAGCAGATCGCCGAGGAGGTCGTCACCGATGCCCGCGATCGCATGAGGGCCGACATGCGATTCTCGCGTACGTCGGCTGCGATCACGCCTCAGGTTTTCACCGACGTGCTCCAGCACCGTGAGCAGGCGGAGTACGAGCGGATCAGCACGGTCAGGGTGGAGGAGACGGGCCAAGAGATCACGGCTTCCCCCTCCACTACGACCACGGTGCCGAAGGCGTTCGCCCCGGCTTACCCGCCGGCCAGATCGTCAACGGGGCCCTACACGATGGACAATACGGAGTAGTTGTCGATCGAAGCCTAGGTGATGGTCGGTTTTTGTGCACGCTCCTAAGAGAGTGGTGCGCCGCGCGACCGAAGCCTCCTGGCGGATCAGCCGGGCTCTTCCGCGGAACAAACATGCCGAGCGATCCTCTCGGCGCGCTAGATCCCAGCGCATGTTCTGCCGGAAGTGAGATTGATCAATACCTGTCTCAGGCACGGCGCTCGGTTACCATTAGCAGGCACGTGCGATCGTTCGTGCAGCTGTTCAGGCCCAGCATGGATAGGTCCGTTCGGAAGATCCTATCCCTCCCCCTGTTCGGGGATGAATTTTGCCAATGGTTGGTGGATCTTCGGATGGCTCAGTTCGAGAAGCTCACGGCTGTTTCGGACGGGACGATCGCTGAGTGTGTGCAAGCATTCATTGATCTTGTCCCTGCCCTCGAGGAACTCCACACGCCAGATCGGCGGAAGAACGAGGAGGAGCTCGGCAGGTGGGTTCCGTCGATCGAGCTGTTGTTTGTGCTGGTTCGTAGCACGGCAGCAGCGGGCTGGGCTGATCTGGCCACTGATCTGGGATTCGGCTTGGCTGAAGCTCCGGTCGTCTTCGGGCGATCGCCACTGAAGTCGAAGGGGACTGGCAAGGAGCCTCCTATGCCATTGCCGCTCGCCAAGAGGCCGCGGGCGATCGAGCCGAGGCCTGAAGATCCGCAGGCATCGCTCAAAACCCGTGAGCTCGGCGAGGTCCGAAAGTGGGGCATGAGGCTGAAAGAGATCGTGGAGAGGTGCGGCGAGCACGCCGCGATCGCGGGCAACCCGAAGCCGGGATCACCCCTGTCTCAAGATGAGATGAATGCATTGAGGTTGATCGTCTTCGAGAGTGGCGGTTTCCGCACTATCCAGCAGTGCGTTCGTCACTGGGAGAGGATTGAGACTTGGGCGAGGTCGCAGAACCTAGTGGTGATCCCGCTGACTACCGACGTGCTCGTCAAGTACCTCTTAGATCTCTCCGACCGAGGTTGCGGCCCCACCGTGATACCTTCGGTACGTGGGGCGGTCAAATGGATCTGCAAGCGGATCGGCTTGTCGTTGCCCGACCTCCTCGATCCCCGGATCATGGCCTTGCAGAAGAAGGTCTATGGCGATCGCGGGAAAGAGACGAGGGAAGCGGTTCCCATCCCTCTGATCTTGGTGGCGGCGCTCGAGCGGTTCGTGTGCGCTCGTTTTAAGTCGAGCCAATTCCCCATGGCGTTCTTCGCATGGTGGGTTCTCGTGATGATCTACTCGTCCCTCAGGTTCGACGACGCGCTCCACGTCGTGCCCGAGGCGCTCGCCCTGAAGGACGAGGCTCTCTATGGGGTGGTTTGGCAGACTAAGGTCGAGCGACAAAAGAAGGGAACGCGGTTCGCGGCGGCCAGAGTCTCCGTCTCCGGATCCGACTGGATGGAAGACGGATGGCACGCAGCTGCGTTCGAAATGGACGATCGCGACTACTTCATGAAAGAGCTCGAATCGGCTGAGCGATTCGCCGATCGGCCTGCCAGCTACCAACGGAGCATCCTGTGGCTGCGGTACGTGCTCACTACTGCAGCTTCGGACGATCTGAAGCGCGGGCACATCTCGCCCGAGCGGCTCAAGGAGCTCCTGAAGATCGTGCCGGAGATCACCTGGCACTCCTGCCGGGTCACGCTGCTCTCGGCGGCGGTCCAGGCGCAGGAGCCCGATAAAGAGATCGGGCTCCAAGCGAACTGGAAGGATCCAAGCCAGCTGGTCCTGAAGTACGCTCGGAGCCGCAAAGAGATCTCGATCGAGATGGTCAAGCGGCTCACGAAGAGGATAGCATCCGACTGGAAATCTCCACCGGAGTTCGAGGCCGACGATACCAATCTGGTCGACTTCGGTGATCTCGCTCTGACCTATGTCACCAAGGCTAGATTGGCTGCGGGGTCCTCAAGGGATCTGAGTCTTATCATGCCATGTATATAGATGGTACGGGCACGGAGCGAACGCTCTGCGGCCGGTACGCGATCACCGAGTGCGAGGATCTCGGCGAGATTCCGCCGAGTACTCAGATGTGCTCGTTGTGTTCCGGTAAGATCTTTACGGAGCCGTGAACACAGCTGTTCGCAGTCACGATGGCCACTCGAGCTGAGCCTCTCCCTGACCGTAGCTTTTCTTTTCAGACAGCTCGTTAGGCAGCCATGGTCGATCGCACCGCATACGCGAATGAGGCGGCGACCCCGAAGCTGAACCTGCGCCAGATCTTCGGGAGACAGGGGCTAGATCCAGCCCTCTGCAGGCTCTCGGCCGACAAAGGTCTCCTCACAGTCGAGATGTTCGCAATGCTGGGGCAGGATCTCACCTCGGCGAAGGCGACAATCCGTCGGCTGTGGCAAGATGACTTGACCCCGCTCGGGGCTGATGCGGCAGCACAGGAGCTCTCCGTGATGTCCTTGGCGGCGGTGTGGCAAGCTGCTCAAGCGCTGCAAACGCAATACGCCTCTCGGCGAGCTCGTATGGAGGAAGACCCGAACAAGATCCCGGAGCTCTCCCAGGAGGACCACGCGGAGTTTCGCGATCGCTTCGTGAGGGTTCACCCCGACGTCATCCTGATCGACGCCAAAGAGCCGCATAAGAAGTTCGTCGAACGGCTGTCCCGCGATTTCCTGATCCATGGGATAGTTCCATTCTACGAGCCGGCCGAGATCAGGACCCGATCGGATGTGATAGTGGTCAAGTCTGGACTTTCTCGGAACGCCGAAGATCTCCTGTCCATCTCTAAGGCTGATCAACCCGAGCCGGTCACCGATGTCACGACTCTGTTCAACCGTCTGCATGCTTTCTTCATGGCGCTCGAATACCTCAACATTTGCGCGTTC